CTTAGTAAATTAGTAAAATTTAGGGTATATTCCTTAATTAAGGGGTTTTGGAAGATCTGGGGAATGCCCTGGCTCACCCAGCCACCCTTGCCCTAACAGCACAGCCCTAAGGTTTAGGGTGTTCAGGGTCTCGGGTTGAGGGTTTAGGGTTAAAACCTAGACCCTTCAGTCAGCCTACCCCTCCGAACCCCCCCTAAACCCTAAACCCTAAACCCTAAACCCTAAACCCTAAACCCTAAACCCTAAACCCTAAACCCTACAAGCCCAAGGGTGGCACGGAAGTCCGTCAGGCTCAGCCTCTTCACCGGCATCATGTGTCGTCGGACCTCGGCCCGGTCATGGAAGGTTTCAGGAGCTCAGGAGGCGGAAGCACCTAAAGGGGGGGGGGGGTACGGAGGGGTAAGAGGGTTTAGGGTTTAGGGTTTAGGGTTTGGGGTTTAGGGTTAAGGAGGCATGTGTACCTGGAGTTGAAGAGGGCGTTTTTGCATCTAAGTCTAGGGAAGTCTGTGGTGATTCAGGGTTTGGGGTTTACGGTTTGGGGGTTACGGTTTAGGGTTTAGGGCTTGGTAGAAGTCTTGGTGTCGGCGGGGTGCAGTATTCGTGTTGCGGTCGGGCCTTGGATTACTGCTTCATGTCACTATTTTCCTCTGCCTTCGAACATACTTGGAGGTTCATGGGTACTTCTAAGTAGGGTTATAAGTAGGTCAACTATGACTATAACCTTTTTATAGGGCACATATAACCCTACTTCTACGTACCCATGCCCTCGCTTTAAAACGCGAAGTCGCGCCAGTCTTCCAGCTATACCCATCGCGGCCCTGCGCTATTTTTCAGCAGGGGTTAGATAGCATGGAAGCCCTCGACCCCCAACCCCAAACCCCAAACTCCAAACCCCAAACCCCAAACCCCAAACCCCAAACCCCAAACCCTAAACCCTAAACCCTAAACCTTAAACCCTAAACACTAGAACCTAAACCCTAAACCCCAAAGCCCAAACCCTAAACCCTTCCTCCTGTAACGGGGCTCGGGCGCCCGTGAGGCTCTCGGGGCCGTCGACCACCACTCCTTACGGCTAAGAGGCTCAGGGCTGAGGGATGTAGGGTTTCGGGTTTGGGGTTTGGGGTTTAGGGTTTGGGGTCTAGGGTTTGGGGTTTAGGGTTTGGGGTTTAGGGTTTGGGGTTTAGGGTTTGGGGTTTAGGGTTTGGGGTTTGGGGTTTGGGGCTTAGGTTCCCTTTGTTCAGGTCTGGGCTTCCTAGAATGCAGGGCCGGCAGGGTTTCAGGTTGAAGCTTCCCTCATAGGGCCGAAGTAGGGCTTCGCCAAGAGCAAAATACCCGTAATTCAAGAATAGCCCATGAGATATAAGAGGGATCCTTACATGAGTGAAGATATATACCTTAAGGAAGAGATTGGGAACCAGTGGCGAAGCAACCAGGTGCGAGAAAGGGGGCCTAACTAAAGGGCAATTGAGGACTGCATGGCACTTTCATGTACCCCTAAACCCTAAACCCTAAACCCTAAGCCCTAAGCCCTAAGCCCTAAGCCCTAAGCCCTAAGCCCTAAGCCCTAAACCCTAAACCCTAAACCCTACCGCGTGCAGCCCGGCTGCTCTTCTGATCCACAATGTCCACAATGGTGCACCTCGAAGCTCGGACCGTTTCAAGTCTGTGGCTTCTCCCTATACCCCCTATACACCATCCTTCTTATACCCGTTACGTCCAGTAACAGCCACAACCCACCCCGGCCTCGCCCCATATCCTCCTTCTCCCGTAGGGTTCTTAGGGGAGGGGGGTTCATGGGGGGTAGGTACCTAGGAACCTTAGGGAAGCCTGGGGAGTGGTCGGGAGTATTAGGGAACCTTGGGTTACATACTCCTCTTGAACCCCCCTCCCTTAAGAACCCTGTAGTTCTCTTAAACTCTAAACTCTAAACCCTAAACCCTAAACCCTCAACCCTAAACCCTAAAGCTTTCGGCCAAATAAGGGCTCAGGTGCCGAGGCCGACCGAAGCAAGGGAAAAAAAAGCGTGGAGACCAGGTGGGGTTTGGGGTTTAGGGTTTAGGGTTTAGGGTTTAGGGTTTAGGGTTTAGGGTTTAGGGTTAGGGTGTAGGGTGTAGGAACAATCCGAAACCGAAAATAGCGCTTTGCTGACGGACTTGCTTTTATACAAAAAAGCGCGTTATTCATACTTTTCATATTGTTATTCGTTGTTCATGTAATTCACATTATTTATACTATGTCTTCGAATAGCACAATATGGTTAACTTTCTTGGCTGTATTGGGGTCCTAGCCTTAAGCTCTAAACCCTAAACTCTACACCCCTATACCCTAAACCCTAAACCCTAAATCCTAAACCCTAAACCCGAAACCCTAAACCCTAAGCGCTAGCAAACTTTCTTGGCAGTAGTGCGGCCCACGGCGCATCTTCCCAGCGCAGGGGCCATAGGTGATGAGGGCCAGGCGGCCCGGCTGCACGAAGCGCGTGAACATCGACGTCTGGGCCATCTTTGCCTGGTTTAGGGTTTAGGGTTTAGGATTCCATGGTCCTGAATATGGGTTTGGGGTTTCGGGTCCCCTTATATACCTTCGTTAAAGGGTTCTGCCGTCTGGGCCATCTTTGCCTGGATTTTCTACGGGAGGTTACAGGGTCGCTTACCATGGGTGTGGGGTTTCGGGTTTAGGGCTGCGGCTTTCGGGTTTCGGGTTTAGGGTTTAGGGATGAAGGCCCTAGTATGGTTCACATTGCCTTCTCGAAAGGATTCTGAAGTTCTGAAGTATGGGCCCATCCCTGCCTGGATTTCTAGGAGGTTCCTTGGTCCCTTAAATATGGCCCCATTGCCTTCTTTAAAGAGTTCTGACGGCTGGGCCATCTTTGCCGGTTGGAGGATTACGGGTTTAGGGTTTAGGGTTTAGGTTTTTCATTGGGCTTTTAGGGGGTTTCGGGGTCAGGGTGTGGGGTTCATTGTTGCCTGCATTGCGCCTTGGAGACTAGGGTTTAGAATTTAGGGTTTGGGGTTTAGGGCTGAGGGTTTTGGTTTTGGTTGGGCCGTTTGGTGACTTGCGTTTTGCTTGGGCAACCTTTGTTCCTTGCTCGATATGAAGCTGTATAAGGTTTTTGCAAACACGATGAAAATCTTATGAAGTTAGAGTACAGGGTGGCTCACAGACGTCTTTTCTCTTTGGCCTGTCAGCCCTCCACAGTAATCCACACGCTCCATGCATTTTGCACGCAAGGTCGCCCAAACCCTAAACCCGAAACCCTAAACCCTCTAATTCTACAAAAGGTGCACACCAGTGAAATGGGTCACTTGAGCTGAACTCGCGTACGGGACTTTATGCAGACTTCGCGGCCTTGGTCTGAGATGCGCGAGTACACAGCGTTTAGGGTTTAGGGTTTTGGGCCAGTTTTGGGTTTAGGGTTTAGGGTTGTTTTCAAACACCGAAAGGCTTCCAAAAACAACACCAACCCTTCAGCCTTAGCCATAAGCCCCTAAGCTTTTTGAGGTCCTAAAGCCCTGACCACTCACTAACTCTTCACTCTCATCACACCCGACTACAGGCTCAAAGCAACACACGGGATGGGCGCCCAACTCGACACAATCGGAGGCTACCCGCCTCAGGGTCTTCCTGCTATCTCCTGTTATACTTCGATCATCCTCGGCCAAATTCGATGAGACTATCCACCCAAACTCTCAAACCCGCCTAAAACCTAAACCCCCCTAGACAACCCTAAGCCCTAAGCCGTAAACCCTAAACCCCAAACCCTAAACCCTAAACCCTAAACCCTAAACCCTAAACCCTAAACCCTAAACCCCACCATCCCTGCGCACCAAGCTGCGCGCGAGGGGGGGGCGGGCGAAGCGCGCTGCGGGGGTCGGAGCTTGAAATGGCTGCAGAGGCTGCCCCAAGGGGTTGGCACCCAAGGCCAGCTTGGGGAGGGGGTTAGCTGGGGGGGGGGGGTTTAGGGTTTAGGGTTTAGGGTTTAGGGTTTAGGGTTTAGGGTTTAGGGTTTAGGGTTTAGGGTTTAGGGTTTGGGGTCTAGGGTCTAGGGTCTAGGGTCCAGGGCTTAGAACCACACCAAAACATGCAACTTTTAGGTCGATGTCGGGACTGATAATTCTTTATCTTTATCTTTTGGGGGCGGGGGGTCTTAAGCAAATGGTAGCTTTGGGGTATTGATTACAACAGTTCAATAAGGTTGTCTTGCCAACAAAACCCTTCCAAGGGACTGCGCTGCTTGTTAAGAGCTTACACTTGGAGTGTCATCGGTACTTACAAAGTAGGGTTCTAAGTAAGATAGCTAGGTCATCACCTTGTTTAGGACCCTAAACCCTAAACCCTACTTCTAGCTCCCCCCCACCCATGAACCTTCAAGGTAAGGGTTTTGGGATTTGGTGCGTAGGGCTCAGGGTCTCGGGAAGTTTGGGATTCTTCTGCACAGGGTTCGGGGATTCAAGCTCATCAGGACGAAGACCGAGGCTCAATAGGGTTTTCGGGGCTTAGGGTGTAGGGTTGAGGGTTTCGGGTTTCGGGTTCAGGGTTTAGGGTTTAGGGTTTAGGGTCTAGGTTTTAGGGATTAGGGTTTAGGAGGCCTCCATCACAAAACCACTGCGCCAAACTCGAAAACCCCTACCTTCCACCTCCCGGCTCTTGGTTCAGGGTCCAGAGTTTAGGGTTTAATTAGGGTTTAGGGTTTAGGGTTTAGGGTTTAGGGTTTAGGGTTTAGGGTTTAGGGTTTAGGGTTTAGGGTTTAGGGTTCAGGGTTCAGGGTTCAGGGTTTAGGGGGTTTGGGGTTTGGGATTTAGGGTTCAGGGATGTGGGTTTCTAAGTTCAGGGTCTAAGTTCTGGCATACTTTCGGGTTGAGGATCCGCGGTTTCAGGGAAGCTCAAGGTTCAGGGTTTAGGGCTTGGGGTTTAGGGTTTAGGGGTCAGGGGTTTCGGGCTTAGGATTTAGGGTTTAGGGCCCCTGCCCCTGCCCAGAAAACTCCGGAGGCCCCTGGGTCCTTCAACGAGGCCAGGAAGATGACCCGGTTCTCTCCTCGGCGGCAAAGAACGCCGTGCAGAGTCCCCAAAAGGGTTTAGGGTATGGGGTTTAGGGTTTAGGGTTTAGGGTTTAGGGTTTAGGGTTTAGGGTTTTTGGGTTTAGGGCTTAGGGTTTAGGGCTTCGGGATGCAGAGTCCCCAAGATTTCAAGACTACGGTTGTACCCGTAAAGGTTTCCCTTCATTTACGCGTAGTATGGCCCGCATTTTGTTTTACAGGATCTTTAAAATGGGTCCCCAAACCCAAGGGTACCGCCTTAGGGTCCGAGGTAGAGTGATGAATAAACCCTACAACCCTTCAAGCCTAAACAACCCCAAACACCGTACCACCCCCACAGCCCTAGTTACCAGCCATGAAACCCTAAACATCCCTAAACCCTAGCCCTAAACCCTAAACCCTAAACCCTCCGAATCCAACCCTGAAGGAGTCTCGGCCCGGGACGCATCAGGCGGCCGATGGCCAAGCCATCCCAGAAGATGGCGTAGATGGCCCTTGAGCTTAAAAGCTTTGGGTTTAGGGTTTAGGGTTTAGGGTTTAAGGTTTAAGGTTTAGGGTTTAGGGTTTAGGGTTTGGGGTTTAGGGTTTGGGGTTTAGTTGAGCTCTGTAGGGGCTTTCTGAAAGTTTCGTGTCTCAGGATTCACAGGGTTTGTGGTTCAGGAGCTGTTTCTGGTTTAGGAGCTGTTGGGTTGAGAGTGCTGGCCTTGGGTTGAGCACGCCCGAAGCCCCTAAGCCCTAAGCCCTCAAACCCTGCGCCATGGCCCCAAGCCCCTGAGACCCCAGCACCCGTCCCCGCCAGTAGCAGGCCGAAAACCCCTAAACCCTAAACCCTAAACCCTAAACCCTAAACCCTAAACCCTAAACCCTAAACCCTAAACCGTGTCCACGAAGGAAGGGAGTCGGCCGAAGTCCCCGGCGATAGGCAAAGCCACCGCGTGGGCAGCCAACAGGCCGCCACCAGGAGAAGGAAGACCTGCCGCGCGAAATTGTGCGTACTAAAGGGGTACTTGGAGGTTCATGGTACTTACTGACCAATTATAACTGGGCTTATAACCCTACTTATAAGTGGGCAAACATATAAGACCCTTTAGGGACATTAGAAGTAGGGTTATAAGTACAGTTATAAGTGGTTAGTAAGTATCATGAACCTCCAAGTACTCATCGTATTCCCAATTATGGTCCCTGTATACTTATGCCAAAATCAGCCCCCCCAAAAAACACCCTATTCTACCGATTAGGGTCCCTTTCTGTAAGGCAATTAAAAGCTTTTCACAAAACGGTCCTCTTAACATCAAACGGCCCTCCTTGTTTTGGAGCGCTGAACTCATCAAAAGACATGGCCATGCAAATCTCAAAAACTTGCCGGACCACTTCTTCATGGCTCGCTCAGCCCCCTAAACCCTGAACCCTGAACCCTAAACCCCATAAACGCCAACATCCGGCGCGCCCTCTTAGCAGAAGGCCTCAAGGGGCTCATGCTGCTACTTGGAGGTTATAAGCAGGGTTGTAAGTACCCTACTCGGCCATGTAGTGATTATTTATTTCATCATGGGGGGGGGGGTTCTTAAGCAAATAGTAGATACAGGGTGGTAAGGAGCCCACTAAGATAAAGGTTCTGATGGTACAGGGCATTCTGATCCCCCAGTTTGATCCCACATGTAGAATCCCCAAAAGAAGTGCCCTAAGCCCTAAACCCTAAACCCGCTGGCAGCACAAACAGCAGCGCGAAGTTCTGTGTGGGCAGCGTCCTTGGGCAGGAGGGATGTGATTTCACAGACCGGGCACGCCTTCTGTGATAGGGGTTCAGGATTTAGGGTTTAGGGTTTAGGGTGTAGGGTTTAGGGTGGCGGGACATGAAAGGGGCCGACGTAGCAAGGCTCCTGCGCTCTATGCTTGGGGTTTTGGGATCCAGCGACCGCCGACGCCAAGGCACGCCCCCAGCAGAAGATTCTTTCGCCGCTCGTACCAGTCCATCCAATACCTTGCGTTTAGGGTTTAGTGTTTGGGGGTTTAGGGTTTCGGGTTTGGGGTTTAGGGTTTAGGGTTCAGGGTTTAGGGTTTGGGGTTTAGGGTTTAGGGCTTCGGGTTTAGGGTCTAGTCCGCGCTCGTGGGAATAGTTCCCGAACCCACATCGCACAAGCTCCTACCACATCCTGCTGGCTGGGACGGCAGAGCCTTTGGGATTCTTCTGGGGAAAACGCCCGCCCTAACAACCCAAGAGGCCCTGTACATCCTCCAGACTACCTGTTTGCTTAAGGACCACCCAAGAGTAAAGGACGGAAATCCGAAAATTGCCCTAATCAGGAAAGATTTTCTATTTTGTTTGGGGGGGGGGGGAGGAAAGGGGGGGTGGGTGGGTGGGCCTTAAGCAAATCGGAGTAAACAGACCAGAGCCCTAAACACTAAACCCTACACCCCCTGGCAAGCCGCAGGCCTAAACCCTAAACCCTAAACCCTAAACCCTAAACCCTAAACCCTCAACAGGGATCAATCGCAGCGGTGAGGCTCGATCTGACGCTGCAGGAACGCCCAGCGAAGAAGGTACCTTGGGGTTGAAATTGGGATGATATATTGTGGGAATCAATTGCATACGAAGACTGTTGCCGGATTCGCCGGAATCGCTGGCCAAAGTGCGCGGCAAAGTGTCGGGACAACTAGCTGGCAAGATTAGCCCGTGCCGCCAAAATTGCCGGCAAAAGCTATGGCAAGAATCTGGGCTGGAATCTGAAACTCTGGCAAAAGCCATGGCAAGAATCTGGGCTGCGATCTGAAAACCCTGGCAAAAGCCACGGCAAAATTCAGGGCTACAAGGGCAGCGGCAGCAGCAGCATCAGCAGCAGCAGCAGTAGCAGCAGTCCCGTTGCCCTTGCACTTCGGAGCTCTATTTCAGCAGCAGCAGCAGCAGCAGCAGTCCCGTTACCCGTTGCACTTCGGAGCTCTATTTTTCCAGCATAGCCCCGGGCAGTCAGGCGTCGAGTGGCTCGTCGCTGTCAAAGTCAGACTCAGATTCAGGCTGATCCTCAGCCTCAGAGATGATGCCCAGCGCTCTGCTGGACCCTGGCCCCACCGCTGCCAAAGCTCCACGCCATCGATGGCAGTCTCTCCAATTTCCATGTAGCATCACCTGGGTGTGAGAAATCAGTGAGTGAGAATGGTGAGACAAATACAACAAAAACAAAAGACGGACACTGAAACGAAACTGATGATTCTGATTCACTGTGATTGTCAAATTGAAAACCTGCTGCGGAGGAGTCGCTGCAAGAATTACCGCACCCACGACAGGCACCGTCATTGCATTGCCTTTGAAGAATGGAAAAGGAAGTTCGAGAAGGATTCCCAGTTGAGTCAAGATTCAAGAAAAAAGAAGCGGGGTTTGGATGATCAATGATGGGCCCGGTTTAGGGTTTAGGGTTTAGGGTTTAGGGTGTAGGGTTTAATTTAGGGTTTAGGGTTTAGGGTTTAGGCTTTAGGGTTTAGGGTCTAGGGTTTAGGGTTTAGGGTTTAGGGAGTGTATTGGCACTGGCCGGTGGGCCTGCAAGAAGCGTCCAGAAACTTCGGATTGAGCGCGCGTACTTGGTCCAGGCGATCTTGTCCACTGGAAAAGCATGGGTGGACATGAGCTCTGGGCCCGTCAAGAGGCGGTGGTGTCGGTAGCTGTACACGGCGCTGTTTGTAGTTAGCCTCTTTCTGAATTCCAGACTCAGACTGACTGAACACTTCAGACACTGAAAGGTCTTCTACAGCTCTACAATCCGCAGCAACCAGCTCAAACAAAAATCAAAGCTCAAGGGGCGTTGGAATTGTACCGTCACACTTCATGGGCACCCGATACACCGACTTCGCAGCATCCACGACCAAATTCTCCACATTCATTTTGTTGGCCTATGCTGGACGACGGATAGGTAATCAAAAGGGAAGCAACGCGGCAGCAATGATTCAGGACTCATAAGCTTCACGTCCACACGCCGCATGCATGCCCAGCATCTTTCGCTTTGGCGTAGAGTACATCCAAAGACTCCACCTTCACAGGCGTGAGGCCTGCGCCCCAGTCTGGCCCGTACTCCATCTGGGCCAAGTGGCTGTACCTTCATTAGCTGACTCAGCAAACGATAATCAAATCCTTTCAAGCAAATCACAGATCAGATTCAGATCATGATCTGTCATCTGTCCGGCGCACTCCCGTGTGTCTTTCATGCCAAGTCGTTCTCGCATCTCGTCAAGCACGACTCGCGTTCGATGTGAAATAAACTTGCCATAATCTGACTCCTGTCAGGGCATGGCGGCATATGCGGCATGATCAAGTAAATTGCTGCGTTCCGAAACACAAGCTCAACGCTCGCAGCCAGCCGGAAACTCATCACCGATGCATCGCTCAGCTTTTTTTGCGTCGTCTCTGCTGCGCAGTTCGAGGGTCCTAGGAGTCAAGGTGTCTCAACGAACAATTTTGGAGGGTTCCGTATGGCTTGCGCACGCTCAGCAAAGGCCAAAATACAAAGAAGATTGAAGGAGTAGCGCTGCACTAGGACTACGGACTACGGTTAGGAGTTAGGAGTCAGGAGGAAATTAGGAAGTAGGACTAGAAGACTAGAAGTTGAGTTAGCGGTATACGGTATACGGTATACGGTACCGGTAACAAGAGGCCAGCCAGCGTTCGTTGTGCACGCGCCCTCAGAATCTCAGAGGCTTCGGGAGACCAAACGACAGCTAAGGCTAAAACTGAAAAAGTCTATGAGTCTATGAGTTGTAGACTGTCGACTGTAGACTGTAGAGTTAAGCCGTTGCAAAATGACGAGCAGTGGGCACACCCGAGCATCTCCAAGAATGGTCGGTTTGGATCTTTTGTCGTTCTAGTTTGTGAGTGGGATCGAATCAAACATCCTGCATTCGGCGAGGTCGCAGTTTGCCCGCGAGCCTCGCAAGATCGTGCCAGGATCCACGCAAAGGAGAGACAGTGCAGCAGCCCGACGTCCACAAGACTGGGGGGGGTAGACTGCCACTACCGACTATAGTCTGTCTCTATAAGTCGTCTATAAGTGTCTACAAGTCTATAAGTTATAAGTTATAAGTTATAAGTAAGAATATTAGAGGAGGAGACGAGACTTCGGCACAAACACAACTAAAGCAGGGCAGTAGCAATACTACGAGCAACTCAACTTCTCGTGTGGACGGTTTGATGGTTTGACGCGGACAGGACTGCTGCACCAGGGATCCCACACTACACTGCTCGCTTCCTCACTTCTTCTTGCCACGGGCCAGGGTCTTGGCAGTGGACTTGGGGGCTTGCTTCACCTTGGCCTTAGGCGCCGCACGTGTCTTCGCAGCCTGTTTCGGGACCTTAGCGCCGCGCGATTTTGCCTTTGCCGCCGCTGTCGGAGCTGCATCGTCAGCAGCATCAGCAGCATCAACATGAGGAGCCTGAGGGCCAGCAGCAACAGCCTCCTGCTGTTCCGCTCCCTTGCCTTTCTTCAAGCCTTCCAGGACTTCCCGCATGACTGGGGGAATTGCGTCCTTCTTCACGTTCAAGCTATCCGCCAACTTGTAAGCATCTTGCACCTGCTTAGCGAGGGCTCTGGGGTTTTCGTCCGGGTCCACAGCCAACTGGCCGATGCACAAGGTCAACATCATTGTGGCAGCCTGCTTCATGAGCTTCTGGAGGTTGGTGATGCTGGGCTGCATACTATTCCACAACTCCATCAAGCCCAATGTTTCCAAGGTTGTCGTGTAGGGCGTGATGATGTTCAGCTTGCCATCCAAGTCAAGCATGCCGTCCCAGCCTGGCAAGCCATCCCTCACGCTCTCCGCTCTCCGCTCTCCGCTCTCCGCTCTCCGCTCTCCGCTCTCCGCTCTCCGCTCTCCGCTCTCCGCTCTCCGCTCTCCGCTCTCCGCTCTCCGCTCTCCGCTCTCCGCTCTCCGCTCTCCGCTCTCCGCTCTCCGCTCTCCGCTCTCCGCTCTCCGCTCTCCGCTCTCCGCTCTCCGCTCTCCGCTCTCCGCTCTCCGCTCTCCGCTCTCCGCTCTCCGCTCT